AGTTCTTGCAGAGTTCTAAGTCGCCCTTCTGTGGTAGTTTCACGAGGTAACCTTTCCTCCAGTCAGTAGGCACCTTTCCCTCATTCCAGACCTTTTGCAATAATGGAGTCAGCATATCTGCTGTCGTCTCTGGGTCCACTTTCAGTGCTTCAGGGGGTATTCCATCTGGTCCAGCTGCTTTTCCAGCTGTTAGAATCTTGATTGCCTTCAAGACTTTTTATGTAATGTAGAATTCATTGATAATAATCTATATGAATTAAAAATGTACCATAATTCTGTTATATAATTACGAAGATGCTTTGGGCGTCTCATGGCTCGTCCAGAACGTGTTTTCTTTGATTCTCGGCTGTAGGTTTGGTTTGTGGTTGTTTCTTTGACTACCAACGGGCATTCGGTCAGCTGTGTATCATTCGGAACGGTTTGCTCGAGGCTCACTGGATTGCCTCCAAAGTAGGCTGGTTTCAGACAGTCGATTCTTAAGGAGTCGTCTCAGCATTTTTTGTCTAAGACGAAAAACTATCCATACGTCTAATGACTTTATACGGTCCATCGTATAGGGGTTCTAGAGGGGGATGTACAGAGTCAAGACGGACAAATACGTGTGAAGAAGTTTTCAGACATGGGTGAACAAAGACGTCTATGGACTGCGGTCGGACGAGAGCAGGTTTAACTGAACACATCGCTTTCGTAAGCCTACTGAAGTACGAGGCGTGATCTACAGCTGGTGGGAAGCTAGAGAGCTAACCGAACTCACCAGGCAGTCGTAGTTTTGTGCCATATACTAGCTCGTCAGTTTTCAAGGTATGTCATATGCTTAGGAGAACTAACGGTAGTGATTTAGTCCAATGTACATTTATTGTGGCTTATAAGCCAGCTTTCAGCTGTTGGTGTAAGGGTTATAACATATCATTAGCTTGAGGATGGTAGGCCTTTGTTCTAAAGCGCATACAGCCAATGATTCTAGCCAAGGCAAAGAATAAGCCCGCTTCCGAATTTCCATCTAATATCAGTTGTTATGGGGGATGGGCATCCAAAATTTGCGACTTATCGTTAAACAAAAACGCGTGCGAATGTTTCAGCAGATGCATCCTTGAGAGGTACTGCTTCGGGCCACCGTGTAAAATGGTAAATGCAGGTAAAGATATACGTTTATAGACTTATATCAAGCTTATTATAATGCTGAATTAAATCTCACTAATTCTGAAATAATTCTAACATTCTATAAAGAGTAAATTCTGAATCTGTTCTAAAATGGTTTCTTTAATGGCACAGACTAGAACTTAGTGCTGGTTTTCAGCATGACTGGCACTAATTCAGCACCCTGTTCTTCTTCTATGCATTTTCAGGAGTAGATCAGAAACTACTGGGTTCGTTTATCAGCTTAATTTCAGCCCTCTCAGCTCATATTCAGCACGGACTAGCATTACTATAGAACGGAAGACTGCTACTAATTATCATTACCTTTTCCTATGCTGGCGCAATTTATTTAGTTTGCAGAAAAAAAATCTGTTTTTATAATTGAGAGAATTTTGTAGTAGTACAATGTTACTACAAATCCGTCAAGTGAGGTCTACTGGTAGCATCCTGTAAATAAGCAACATAAAAGATTAGTTGAGCGCAATATTGTGCTCATCACATTCTCAGCATTTACATTTAGAAAAGTGTACTTACAAAGCTGCCACTTTTATATCCTCTGGTATCTCTTTCATTTGCCTAGAAATAACAATCAATGTTGTGACTACTACATGTTGACTAAACGTTGACTTATAAAGGTAAGCAGGCGTTTCACAGTATTACCTGAATTCCTTTCTTCAGGTTACGCCTTTGGACACGACCTTTCAAATTATGAAAGTACGATTTCGTGGCCCTACCCACCATGTCACAAACCTCTCTCAGCGTCATCAGTTGGCCGAGGAACTGAGCCATAATTACAGCTACAGAAATAAGTAATTCATTAATCTGGATATTGAGGTCTGATGCATCCAACTTCACTAGCAGCTACATCAAAATCCATGGAGTTGTAAAATAGACCTTCTCATTTTTCCTTGCATCCCTGAAAAATATGTTAGACAGAAAACGGTACCTACCATTTTAGTCTCCTGCTAGGCATTGGCAACGTGTCATTGTTCGTGTCTACCTTCTTACTGCCTTGACCATAGCTTCCCAAAAGCTCTAAACCCTTTTGACAATTCTCATACGTATCTAGAAGGGTGATAATGAAATATTCCAACCTACTAAATTCCTTTAGTTGAGAGAATTTAAACACTGAACATCCATCCCCTAAAAACATAGGCTGTAGATGGTTTGCAGTGCTGCTGTATGCACATAACCAATTCACACAACCCAAATGTTTGGGATAGAGACTAAACTATCATCTTCTAGCGAACGGACGACGAGAAATCTTATTGATGTGGAATTCTGCAAAAGAATATGTAATGAATTGGAAATGCGGCTGCGTTACTTTCATACGTATCAGGTTGCTTAAAAAAATAACAACATAGATAAACCTATATCTCAAAAACTCGGAATAAACTGTCAGATGAACTTCAGTTAGACCAACAACATTAGCCAGTTAGAGGCAGATGTTCAGACTTGAAAACAACTAGATGATACAAAAAAACTTAGAGGAATTACATATCAACAGTTCAAGCAACCAATATGCAAGTCCCATAAGTTACTGCACAACATATTCATTTAAAAGTATGAAGCAGAGGGGAAGGGGTGACTACTCCTTCATTAGCTGTTGGAAATGTCATGCACTTGCAAACAATATTCAAATAGGATATCCAGTGTGTTTCGTAACTGAATGTTGAACAACTGACAATCCCTAAATTCCTGGATATAAATGGAGTAACAAACTTACCTAGATTACTGCTCACCAATTTTCTAGCCAGCACCAAGCCCGGATAAAGAGGGAGGGTTGGAGCATGGTGCTAGCAACTCCACCCCCAAAACTTAACCAAAATGCTACAGAAACTTCAAAGCATAAATATAAAAAAAATTACAAAAACATAAACAATAACCTTATTTTTCCCTGGAATCGAAGGAGTGAAATGACACAGGCTGGTGAAAGCCTTCGGGAAGCCAGTCAGCCGATGTGCCTCCTTTCGATGAAAGCCATAATAAGGATGGGGACGTGAAATTTTCGTACAATGTGCGAAGCTGGAAAGGCTGCCCAGGTAGCCGCAGAAATGAGAAGATATAAAATAGAAGTGTTGGGAATCTGCAAGAGCAGATGGAACGGATGTGGAAGGGGCCAACTACCAAATGGAGAGACAATAATTTACTCCGGCCACCCAGAGGACAATCACGAGCACACCGAGGGAGTAGCCATCATGATGTCACCAACAGCAGCCAAAGCTCTCATGCAGTGGGAACCAATCTCCTCCAGGATAATGACAGCTAGGTTCAACTCAAAAGGAAGGAAGGTTACAATCATTCAATGCTATGCGCCTACAAACGTCTCGGAACAAGAGAAGAAGGAGGATTTCTACAGACAACTACAAACAGTAATGGACAACGTCCCAAATGGCGATATCGGAATCCTGATGGGTGATATGAATGCGAAACCGGAACTCACTATGGGTCGTGAGGCCCTCGGTGAAATGAACGACAATGGTGAACTCTTCTCAGACTTCTGCGCCTTCAATGATTTGGTGATTGGCGGCAGTGTGTTCAAACACAGGGATATACACAAGGCGACATGGATTTCACCAGATGGACACACCAAAAACCAGATAGACTTCATTTCAATCTCAAGGAAGTGGAGATGGAGC